AGAGCGTTCTGTGGAGTATTGTTAACGGGCAAAAAGCAGGAAGAAAGGCAGCGTAGGGTCCCTGCCGTGGTCCAGGGCACTACCCCGATGCTGGCCAGGCTGTAAACAAACCGAGCACCGTGACCGCGTGAAGAGCGGTCCCTGCAGTTAATTAGTGGAGCACTGACAGCAGGAGGAGTCCCTGTGTCAACAGGTGATATTAAACTCAATGGAACAGGAATAAAGCCAGGGACAAAGCTATAAACCCTTAAATTGTAACAAAACTTCTTGCAAAGGTGTTTTCATGCTTTCGTGATGCCTCGCACAGCTGCAAGGCAGAGCCCATGAGGATGTGTTATAAAACACTCCCTAAGGAAACCACCTGAACTTTGCTTTTATGAGTCCAACCAACTCTAAAGCAGCGTATTCTTAATCCGTGAAGTCTCAGACCTAAACCATCTGTCTAGGCAGACCACACATAGTTCAACCCAGATGGTATGCTCCAGAAATAAGGAGATGTTCAAGAGTAAATCATCGGCCCTCCTTCCCGAAGATGGCTGCACCCAGAAGCCTTCAGTTCCCCGGCACAGAATCGCGATAGTTAAGGGGAGGAATGTCAGTAGAGAAGCATCAGCTACATGACTGTGAAGATGTCAGGGTAGGACCCAAAGAAGGCAAACAGAAGAATCAGAGCCAAAACCAACTGTAACCGAGCTCAAGACACGGCTGGAATCGAATGCTTTCCTACCGCCCTTAATCAAGATAGAGTTTCTGTCAACGCTATCTACTTTTTTTAAAAATCAAGTGCGTCATCTGCATTCCTCCCTCGCCCTCCCCACTCGGTCCACCGAGTCGGAGCTCCGGGCATCATGTTTCACAGCTACTTGTGTCCGCTGCTACGCTGCTGCAGTTTCCAGCTTTTTACTGTGCAAAGTCCATATTCTGTCATAGCGTCAGCACCCTCACCGCCGACCCCCTTCTCTCTCTGTCCCTCCCAGATGGAACCCAATAGCCATGAAAAGAAATGGAGCGCATCAACGCCAATGTTTCATACACCAAGTTTCTTGAAAGAGCCGGTGGGGAGGTAAAAGTTATCGTGACTGAATCCCAGAGGGTGCGTTTCAGTCAGAGGAACTCACGGCATTCGCTTTTCAAACTCCTACGTATCCTCCGAGCCCTGCGCAGAATAGGATTTACTGCGAAGCAGCAGTTCACCGAAAGGCATCTCGCTCCTCCACCCGTCGACTCAGCTTGGGACTGAGCTCCCGTCAGCTGGGAACGTTAAGGTGATTTATCACTCCGATATGCCCACTGCGATGCTCCTGCAATCGAAACGGGCTCGGCCAAGCACAGCCTGAAGCCCGGTGCCCACTCCCTTGAGGCATTTTAAGACACCCAATCATGATTTTGATGGCAGAACCACCATTATCTCAATCTTTTCTTTAAAGACAGGAGGTAAAATTCTTTCTCTCCACCGTGGCACTCTTCCACCAGAAGTGAGGTGCAGAAACTTCTTCTCATTAATAGGGACATTACCTCATTAGCAGGCACTGCGTGCATTTACCAGACTGTGGTTACAGGCACACTGTAATCCTACATAACTACAGCATGGATTTAAAGCGTAACCCTGCTCTCCCCCACATCCATCACCTTCTGTGTCGACACTAGCGTCCGCAGAGCCTCGCCGCGAGCCAGCCGGGGAACCCTCACCCCTGTTCTGCAGGATCAGCTTTCACCTGGCTTGCAGAGAGCTGCTCACACCGGCGCCGGTGCAAGAAAGGAGGAGGATCTGGTCCTCTCGCTTTCAAAAATAGCCCAAATTCCTTTGATAAAAGCAACTGCCTCACTAAAACCTTGATTCTCTGTCTAGGTCTGCTCCCCTCACTGACCGAAACGTGCCACGCAGCCACGGCCCCGTACGGTTTCTGTACGGAGCAGCACACCCGTATCCACAAAGACGAACGGACAATGAGTTTCTCTGCACATCAGGTTTCTTTTGAGTAACTACACTTTGGCACGTTCCAGGAGAGTGCCTTGGCCTGGTTTAGGTTAGTTAGCTTTGAAAAAGGATTAAGCTAAATTGGAACAAGCATTCCTATCCCAGAATAAGACTGATCCAACAGCAAGCGCAATAGGTATTTCGGAATAACTTCACACCTCGCTCTAATCCAAATTAGCTTTAAAATGCTGACACGATTCCTCCACAGATGGGCTCAGCGTCTTTTTCTCAACGTAGCTGTTAATTTCTTGCCAAAAACATTCAGGCCAGACAAGGCTGGGGAGGAGTAACTCCAACAAGACCTACGCAGTACTGGCCTAGCCGCAGCACGTGAAACTTGGCACCGAGCACGTCGTAAGGGACCGCTTCGCAGTTATGACCTAACCAAAAGAGCCTCTCGTTTTCAGAGCAGCAGCCCAGCACGGACCGATGGTCATCAGGACGGACGAAGATGAGAAGTTAGAGGTCAGAAGGAGAGAGAATGGGGAGTTTGGGTTTGGGGGAGCAGCAAGGGACGGATGGAAGGAGGGTGCAGAGATCTGCTCTTTCTTGCTGCCTTGCAATGTAATTAGATAAGTCCTTGGTCAACTTGAGACAACACCTTATCACAAGACACCACTGGAGCTTCATAAGCTATAGGCGTTACTTACTCTAAACCCTAACGGGATTGGAAAGGGGAAAAAAATAGTACGAGATACACAAAAAGGATATTCTGAGTTACATTAGCAGATAAACCTGAAGCCAGCTGATCCACGTGCCTCAAAACCCAAGACAGACAATAGGGAATAAGCACAAGAAGCTTCCTCAAGGGCGAGGAAGCTGCACGGCAATTTGTCACAGTCATTCCAGTGCCTTCTGCTGGGCATTCAACACCGACTGCTGTTTAATCACAGGATGCTGCATTAACCAGGCAACTTGCTTAATTCAGCCTGGCAGCTTCTTTATTGTCCTGCAACCCAAAGCTTTCCGTCCCTTTTATAGGGACGATAATTCAGACAAAGTCCCCAGATGCTTTTCCTGGGCTAATATGTAAATTGGACCATTACAAGGGGCTGGAAACTGCTCTCGAGATTCAGCCCTGCCACTGCAGCCGCGTAGGGAGCTATCCCACCGCAAAGGCGCCCCGGGAACTCCTTCAGCGCGATGCCAGCAGCCACTAACAGAAGTCATCCTTGCTTTTCCCTGAGCGGGGTTAAGGGAATGCTTTTAACAAATTCTGGATCGACAGCTTCTCCTTCCTTTCTGCTGCTCCTCCTTCAAAGCTCAAGTGCCAAAGCTCAGCACAGAATCAACCCTGAATTCATCATCCCGGGTACAGAACAGAGGCAACGCTGCTGTTCCATCATGTAATACTCAAACTGGGAGATGAAGCTTTTAACTCTACGCAGGCGGGAGATGAGCACGCAGAGAGCTCTGCAGACCACCCCGGCCTGCCATCGTTAGCCTACAGCAAAAGGAGGAGCAGCAGCTTTTCTCCCGAGCAGCCTTTGCTCTGCTCACAGCGGCCCAGAGCCGCCTCCCTTCCAACAGCCCAAAATAAACAGCCCTGACATCGTACGCTCCGTAAATGAGATCCCGCAAGTTTTAGAAGACATGAAGATGGGACATTCTAAGAATAGCGGTTCAAGGAAAAGGAAATTATTTTTAGCCAGTACACCCTCAACTTATTGTTAGATAAAATGAATCTCCTCTAGTTTAAGAAAAGCGCTGTACAAAAATAGCTAACTTAATACCTTTTCTGTTACTTAGGCCAAGTTTTGCCTGGTTTTCTTTCCTCCTTTTCCTAGGAAGCAGGATTTGGTTTGAGAAGAAGTAACATAGTTTTTCTTAGCTCCAAAAGTAAGATGCACGCTTCGGGTTTTGAGCAGTCAGTGTGAATGAACAGTGAACGCCACAGCACAGTGGGCGGCCTGGCCCACGCTGGCATTAGCACGGCTCGGCGCTCTGGGTTATAATTCATCGTGAAAGGGACAGACTTCACGTCAGATTTTGTGATTGTTTGGACACTCTGTCATGGTTTAAACCCAGCCGGCAACTAAGCACCACCCAGCCACTTGCTCATCCCGGTGGAATGGGGAGAGAATTGGAAAAGTGAGAAAACTCATGGGTTGAGATAATAATAGTTTAATAATTGAAATGTTATAAAAATAATAAATTATAATGAAAAGGAAAACAATAGAAGAGAGAAGCAAAACCCAGGAAAAACAAGTGATGCAGCTGCTCACTGATGCCCAGCCCGTCCCCGAGCAGCGATCGCTGCCCCAGTTTATATACTCCCAACTCCCCCAGTTTCTATACTGGTCATGGCGTCACACGGTACGGAATAGCCCTTGGGCCAG